CGCGCACACACACCATATATATATATATATATATAATACAGATTTGTTTTCACATATATTGAGCACCAGTATGCACCTGGACCCTTACACGTAGATTTATACTCGGAACAAGAATCAAATTTTAATCCACTGAGCCTACATTCCGATAGAAGTTGATGCGTGCAGAACACGACGGTTTGTAATCTTAGTGACTATTATGTGCATATACACAATGCTCTGATTCCCACAATACTAAAATGTGTATGTCGCACCTTCACTTTACTGTTGGCGACAACCAAAGTAATAAGCTTTAAGCTGAACGTGTACATATGTGTACATATCGGCGTAGAATAAGCAGCAACGTAATTGTTGCGAAATGTATTTTCAACATTAGCACGCGAGTCACTTAGAACAACCCACAATCACTATGTGCAACAACTTATGAACGGAACATAGAAAGTCGGGACAACCAGACGTTGTTGCTTATGAACACACGAGAGGTCTCAACGTATAGATGCAACTGAGTCGCCTATACCTTTGGCTTTGTACATATTTATACGCATATTCATAAATTCAACCAGAAGTTGCTATAAGTGGTAGGTATTTAAGCTATAGACACGCAAGGAAGCGCAGATTCAGACAGATGCATAGTTGTGCGTACCTTTTGACTTGTATCGTTTTCGGATTATCCAAATTCGCGGCATCTAAGTAATACAGCGAACCCACCGCAGTGAACTGCTTCAGGCTTGGATTGAAATATGAGGCTTGGCTGTAGTTAGAGGAAACGTAAACTTTGTTAGTGTTGTGCCTTCACCTGCAATGTGGTGCTTTCATTGCGTACCACTCCGAGCCAATGCTGCGAGATTCAAAGATTGCGTAACGCAAATCTTCTATCGCCACTGTCACCATTCGAATAGCCGACACGTTCAAAGTAGACACTTCATCTTATTTTAAAACATTTTGTTCCGACTGCTGTTCGGTACGAATAAGCGCACAACTATGTTCTACTCGCCCCAACAAGTGCTACAGAGGAAGTCGTTTAACAAAACAACAATCACATCACACAGACCAACAACACATACATATACAATTCAATTCAACGTGAATTGAACGTTGACGTATTAAATTGAACGCGAATTGAAGATTGAATTAATAAATTGGTCGCAAATTGAACGCTGACACACTATTGAGATATATACAATCCATTCTTAGTGTACACCTGTGACGATGACATCTGCCGCAAACGAAGACATTGCGCAGATAGACACAGCAATGTACAGAGATACCGACCACACTACACACGTACAATGAGAAGGAGCTGCTCTCAGACACCCCATCGGCGGTGGATGTGCCGGTGTTGGCCTCGGCATTTCCCGGACACCCTATACCCGCCACCTGGAGCATTTTGATAACTAGCGAGGGTGTTTAAAAGGTCAAGGGTCGTAAATGAGGGGTGCGCATGTGACTATGGAATATGCGTACGATGCGATTGTATGCCACGGCAGATTGTGCTCAATCATATGCGATGGTATGTACTGCACCTGAGAGTGCCGGAAAAAGACTTTGCGCCCAGGAAGGCATATACGGCTCTCGACGGGGTGTCTCAGTATTGCGTATGGCGACAATGAAAACGTTCAGTCAACAATTGCAAGACAACATTATAGTATTTCGGCCCTGAACAACGGGCCGAACCACATTTCAAGCAATGCTACGCAAGCACATACATACAAACACATACTTACAAGTACATACATACAAGCACATACATGTGGTACAAAATATAAGCACATGCATGAGGTGCAAAGTACTAGCACATACATGTGGTGGAAAGGCCCGTGCCTAACAGCCGGGGCACTACATCGCACCCAAAGACAAAGTTGAATGTCCTGCCCTTCATCGCAGCGGTCAGGGCTGTCGGCAAGGCCTTGTCTTCGAGTGCATTCCTCGCGAACACCAACGGAGCCCCAAACGTCACCACCTTCACACTTACTCCGGGTGGGAGTAGATGTTGCTTACTCATGAGTATCCTTGCTCCGCATAGCAGCGCGTATGCTCCCCCCAGACTGTGGCCTGTGATGTACAGTTGCTTGATACTCTTCGGCAGTTGCTTGAGCTCCGCCTCAATCCTGCCCCATATCTGGTCCAGTTTCCCGGCGATCCCCCTATGCGCCATTAACGTCGCCTTGTCCGTCTTAAACTGGGCCAATTCATGGTCCAAAATCACACCCACATCATTGCCCTCGTGCGTGCCCCTGAACACCAAGTAGGCCTTGTCATCGACAAGCGTGTGATTACTGCCATTGCTCATGTAGAAGATACAGCGGGGGTGTCTGTTGTGGATAATGTACATGTGCTCGTCTGCGATGCTCTTCATGCTGGGACTAAAGTCGCGGTCGGCCCTGTCCTGTTCGTAGATGGACTGGTGCGGTTCCTTTTGCATGGGCTCAACGGCATCCATTGACAGCTCAACGCCGTTATACTCACGCCATGTGTACCGCACTTTGCGCGCTTCGTCAATTGGTGGTTTCCGGTACAACTCTGTTGATGGGATATGAAGATTCAAAATGAAGGTCAGATATTCTATGGCAGATAGTATAGCTCTATGGTGTAGGATAGAAGGGCCAATAGTAGAGTTCTTGGGATATGAAGATTCAAAATGAAGGTCAGATATTCTATGGCAGATAGTATAGCTCTATGGTGTAGGATAGAAGGGCCAATAGTAGAGTTCTACGACGTCTATTTGTGCCAAATTTGGGTATGAGGGACAGAGTTGCAAAATTCGCAATATTCATCAATCAGTATCTAAGAACACCCTACAGCCAGGAAATAGGTCTGAAATATAGCGGTTTTGGATTTCTCGACAAAGTCACTAGGTATGATAGTCAGAGACAGGAGTATAAAACGCTATTAGGCTTAACTCGGTAGACAAATACTAAGCGAAAGTACAATCCTGGTCCATTATTCACTGTCTACATAGAGACACATTCCATCTGAGCCTCACGGCCACCCAAACCCTGCAAACACATAAGTTTGGATAGCCCCGCACAGACCATGCATTGATACCAGCTTAAGCCAGCTTAAGCATACACATATCACTTGCAACACACTTGGATCGTATGGACATGCTTCTCTGAATGATCATCAAAGATATACAGCTTGAGATCTTAGTGAATCCAATACACATCCATAGACAACATATAGATAGGTTTGTCAAGAGAATTCCTCTCACCCCCTCGTTTGATGTCAATATCGATACTCCTAACGCAAACACTACCCCAAAGGTACATAAGTGACACCATGTCTGTAGAATGCCAATCGAAACAGTTGGCCCTATAAGTGCTGGGTCCTCGCTTGCAATCCGTTCCAAACAATCACTTGCGTACTTTGTGCTTACACAGCTGCAATGTCCGCTATAGATGGCAGACGACACATACCAGTCGCGATGTGTTTCGTATCACTATAGATATGCCGTGACGCCTTTGCGCACAGGTATGCTTGCAATGGTGAGATGCCCTCGAGGGAATGCTCATTTGCCCCCAGCATGGGATCAACTCCTGCAGAATGGGATGTGATCAATTCAAACATGATTGTACATTTCTAAAGCATGATACTTATTGAAGCATATTGAAACGACGAATATATGTGCGATAATATCATGTCATATTGTGGGGGACGTGTTAGGCAGCGGAGGAGACCAGACAATCAATGCATCTATATCGGGTAAGTTCTGGAAAGCAACTTTCCTTCGATATAAGAGTATATCATAAATCACCGCAAAATTAACAGTGGCTTTGAAATCTTCTCACGTAAAAGATGCCGATATCCGATACAAATATATTTATATATATGTATATATGTCTATAA